TTTGTTTTTAAATTAATAATTTCTTTTTTCTCCTCTTTTTTACAAAGAAATATTCTAAACATTTTTGAGTTAATAATTAATTTAATAATTAAATAATATATTTTTTGAATATTAACCTTAAATAAATATTTTATTTTTTTAAATTAATTTTTAAAAACCTCAAAATTTGTTTTAATTAATTCTTCAATCCATTCAGGTATTTTAATTAATTTATTTTCCAAAATTTTATATAATTTATTTATTTTTTCCTTTTTATCTTCAATATTCTCAATTTTATTTTCTGAACTTTCCTCAATTTGATTATTTAAATATAAATATATTATATCCAAATAAATTATTTCAAAGCCCTCCCTGTCATATTTTTCTAATAACGGTTTAATTAATTCAAAATATTCATTAAATTCTTTTTCTTCTTTGTTTGTATCTGGTAAAATTAAAAAATTAAAAATTAAAAAATTTTTAGATTAAATTAAATTTACTTTCTTCATTTTCAATAATATCTTCACAAATATAGTAAATTATCTAAAAAATAAATAAAAATTAATTTAAAAAGTATTTTTATTTTACATTTGTATAATTTACTTTTTCTTCTCCAATTAAATTATTCATTCTTTTCTTTTCATGTGGCCTCAAATCTAAAATTTTATTTTATCAAATTTTGTTGATTAAAAAAATTTAAATATTTACATATTTAAATAAAAATTACATACTTTCCTCCCCAATTTCTAATTTTTGTTTTTATTCACAATTAACTTTCCACTATTAAATAAGTATACAAACTCTAATTTAAACCTGAGACTTCTCATTATAAAATGAAAAAGGCGGATACTGGGTGCCCGCAATTTTGAAATGTTCGAACTCTATTTAAATACCTACAAACCTTCAATATTCTCTTTAAATATTTCATCTTCTTCCATTAATTTTTTAATCATTTTTGAATGTTCTTTTTTAAAAAATTTATTTAAATTTTCTTCATTTATAATTTCTTTTGCCAATTCTTCCAAACTTTTATCTTCTAAATTTCTTTTCATTTCCTCTTTTGTATAATTTTTATTAATAAATTTACTAAATTTATTAATTATATTTAAATATAAATTTCCATATTTTTCCAAATTTTTATTATTTATTTCTTCAATTTCTTCCAAAAAGAAAAGAATTCTTTTTCTAGATCCTAACCATAAATTTTCATTAAAATGATTATCAAAAATTAAAACAGAAACTAAAACATTTGCTGTATATTTTGATTTTTTATAATTATAATTATTTTCATTAATTGATGTAAATATTTCTAAATAACTCTTTTTTAACCAATTAACCAATTTTGATTCATTTATTTCTAAATTAATAAATTATTTAATAAAATCTAAAGTTCTTCAATTAAAAAATAAAAATCCCCAATCTGATCACCTCAAATCATAAATTAACCTACCAACGAGTAAAATATTTTTTAGAGTAGTTTCTAATTCAAGATTATGTCCTAGATGTTCATTATTTCGAACATTATTTAAAGCATCAGTAACCAAATAATTTGCCTTCCATAATGCACCCGGCGTTTCATAAAAAAATTGTTTTAAATCTTTAAAATTTTCATTTTCATTCATTTCTTTCATATCTTGACATAATTTTCTGGAAATTTTCAGACAAATATCGTCATATTTTTTTGTATCTTGATTTTTTAAAATTTCTAAAGATTCTTCTAGCGTTTTATTTTCGTCAGTGTAATGTTCCCATATATAATTAATTTCTTTAAAAATTTTTTTTTCATCGTTAAATTCAGCCCTATAAGCATTCAAAAATTCACTAAAATATATACAAATCATTAGATTAGATTTGCTTTGTAAAAATTCTTTGGAATTTAATTGAGACGAAAGTAATTTTTTATAACGATTAATTCTTTCAGAATCCTCAACAAGATCTGAATTTTTAATTAATTAAAAAATATTTGGAATTGTTGAAAATAAATTTCTATTTTTAGGACGTAATGGTGAGATTACTTCAAAGTCTCATCACGTCTTGCGACAGTAAATAACTTTAAAAAAGGAGAATACGAGACTTTTCTCCTCTTTTTCCATTAATTTTCTGTCGAAGGCACGTCTAGCAAAACAAAAATCGGGGAGAAAATTGGTGATATAACTAATCTCTGTGTATTTAGTTTCTACATTATAACTTTTTCCAGAAACTAACCAGGTCTAAATAACAGAGGATATTTTAATTCTAATTCACTAAACATAAATTCTCCAAATATTTCCCTCATTCTTTTTTTAATTCTTAGAAATTCTTCTTTTGATATTATTTCAAATTTTGGTGTTTGTAAGTTTTCTAATTTTGAAACAATTTTTCCTTTCTTTTTATTTTTTATAATTATTTCTAACCTTAAATATTTTTTTTTAAATTTTAAAATTAAAAAAAAATATAAAGTACTTTTCAGTTAATTCTCTCTCAATATTTAATTTTTTAGCAATTTCTTCCAATTTTTCACCAATTTTTTCTTCTTCCAAATTTTCTTCTTCTTCAATTTCTTCTCTATATTTTTTAAATTTTTCTTCAACAATTTCTAACCTTTTATTTTCTATTACATCAATATCTATTATAAACAAATTTTCCATTTCTTTTGCAGTTAATTCCCCAAAAAATAATTCAAATATTTGTTTATATTCCATTAAATTTAAAGCTATTTTCCAATTTTTTATTTCAAAATTAATTAAAAATTTTCTTTCAAAATTTCCAAATTCTTCTATTTTTTTCTCTATTTTCTCAAAATATTCCTTTTTCCCCTCCAATTCTGCCCATTCATTTTTTTCTCTTTCAACTGGATTTTCAAATTTATTTTCTTTAAATTTAAAGTTTTCAATTAATTTCTTTTTTTCTTTTAAAGATTTTTTTATTTCTCTAATATTTTCTTTAATATTTTCACAAAAAATAATTAAATTTAATTTCTGCTTAATTTTCCAATTTTCGTGAAAAATTAATTGAATATAAAGATTCTCAATTTCATCATCTCCAATATTGCAAATATCTAAATATATAAATATTTTTTAGAGATAGTGTGGATACTTCTTCAATTCTTTTCGGTCTTAGGGTGAAGTATTGGTAAATTAATCATAAAAATGCGAAACCAAAACAGTGTTTTCCAGCTCAAACCGGATTTCACTTTACATCCCCAGCCCAAACTGGAAACAAAACATTCGGCTACAAAGAATATTTTCCTGTTATCAAGTAAGCCAGAAATCCTTCCTTTTGTTGCAACAATCGAAAATTTTATAAGGCTAAGAAACCGCAATACTAATTGTTTTTTTCTCGATTTTCGGTAATCGTGACGGCAGGATTGCTGGTCCATAAGATATTCTCATTTTTTCTTTGTGTCAATTACAATAATTAAAATAACTTACTAAATTTATTTGAATCAATTTTAGACTTTTCGGCTTTTAAACTCTTTGGTGGACAAATACAAGATTTTATGAGGATTAAAATAAAAATAAGAAGAAATAATTTTACTTTCATTTAAATTTTTAAAATTTAAATAAATTTAAATAATCTAGTAAATAAAAATTATAATTTTTTAAATTAATTTAATTATTATTTAGAAAAAAAAAATCCAAAAACGATTAAAAAATTGGAATTCACAGCCCGAGAATCGAACCTAACCACTAGCTAACTGCGAACTTTTAAGGTTAATAAACTGAAATATTTTTTAAAAGATTTTAAAATTAGTCTTAATAAATTTAAATTAATTAATTTAGCTATAATAAAATAAATAAATAGTAAGGGCATATAGAGGGGGTATTTAAACCCATTACAGGGATAAAAGGACATATGGAGAAAGAGAATGCACTTTTTAGAGTAAATTGGTTAGTGAATTGGGGAGTTATTACTAAGAAAAGAAAGAGGTGGGGGGGGGGGACTTTAAAAATAATTAAAAAATAAACATGTGAACGTCGGCAATTGTGAAAGTAAAAAAAGAAATAAATAATAAACATGTGAATGCCCTTTTCTAAATATTTTTTATTAGGAAATCAAAGACAAAAACCGACAAAATTAATAAATAATAATTTGTTTTTATTTAGAAATATGCGCAACAAAAAATTATTTTTATTTAAAAATATAAAAATATTTTTTAAATTATATTTTTTTTAATTATATAAACATTCGGTTTTCTACTTTTTCAGTTTAATTTTCTGTATAAAATTGATTTGAATTTTAATTAAAACATATTTTTATTAGTGATATGGTCAAATGATATTTAAATAAAATATTAAAGTAAGGATATTTGGATATCCTTCCCCGTCGTTGGAAAGGTGTTAGTAAAAAGATTTTGGGGATATCGGGGATACAGTTGGATTACAGAGGAATTTGGAGGGAACAATGTTATTGAATTGACTGGAAGGGTTTTATTTATTTCACATTAAAAATGAATTGAGGGTAGGAGAATTGAGGGTATATCAATTAATTTAAAGGGATTAAAGTAATATAACGGGATTTGGATGAATCAAATAGTATCTGGACAAATAGTATCTGCTGCTCGATAATTTAGATGAAGGAATATAAGAAGAGCTTATAAACTTAGTTGTTTATCGAAAAGATATTAAAATAAACTTGAATATTTTTTTCATTTTTGAAAATTCAAATTTAATTTTTTACCCAAAAACGATCCGCAAAAGTCGGTCCGTCGGTCCGTAAGTGTCATAGAATCGTCTAAAGTCTTCTTATGTAAATTAAGCTCCAATTTTAATCTTTCCTTCATTTTTGTCAGTATATTTTTTAAAATCATTTTCTTTTAATGATTTAATTTATTTTTTTCTGTGTTAGGTTTTTAGACTTTTCGGCCTTTAAACTCTTTGTTGGACAAATATATGATTTTATGAGGATTAAAATAAAAAGAAATAAATTTATTTTGATTTAAATTTTTAATTAAATAAATTTTAAATAAATTAAAAATTATTTTCTTTAAATTAAATTAATTATATAATTAATATTAAATCTAAAAAGACCATTAAAAAATTAACCTCCCAGTCCGGGAATCGAACCCGGGTCTCGCACGTGACAGGCGCGGATACTAACCACTATACTAACTGGGAACTTATTAATGTTTGGCTAAAATAGTAAAAAATATTTTTCATATAAATTTATTTAATAATTTTTTCTCTTAAATTAGTCTTAATAAATTTCAAATTACCGTATTTCCTAAAATAATACTCCCCCCTGAATTAGTACTCCCCCCTTAAATAATACTCCCCTTCGGAGGAGGGTTGAAAAATAGTACTCCCCCCTTAAATAGTACTCCCCTAAAATAGTACTCCCCCCTAAAATATTTTTTTCCTATATTTAAAAAAAATATAGTAGACTCAATGAATTATTTTATTGAAATTTATTTATTTATTTTATTTATTCTACATAAGTAGGTTGTCGGTTTCACTTGATTCTTCGATAACCGAAACCGAACAAGTTTCGGTTACCGAAAACGAACCGAAATTTTAACCTAAAATTTGTCGACGATTAAAGAGATATATTGTGATTAGTTGGTGGGATAAAAGTGGATTTGAGGATATAAGTGATTATATCGGGTGATAAAATGTGTTCTGGATTGATAAGTGGGGTCTAAAAAATATCATTGCATTATGGTTTCATAAACGAATTTGAGGGAATAATGAAGGATGAGTCATATTAGGCGATTTTGGTTGATTAAGAGTGATAAAGATATGAAATTTAATAATAAATCCTCCTTAATCCACAGATATTTTTTCGTTACCTCTAATCAAAAATACCCAGACATCCAAACACTGATATCCAACTTATCTCATTTGATCCCTGGTGCCCAAATATGGATATCATATAATTCGTAGGGATATTGGAAGAACAAAAGGAATATGAAAGATATCGGTGATTAATGCTGATAAATCCTTAGACACAGAGATTAGGACATCTCTAGACACAGGATTACACTAGACACAGGTAATCACTATACACAGGAGATTAGGTAATCTCCTGATAAATCCCCTTGAATGATGTCTAGGGGATTTTACGCATATCAAGTGTATAAATGTGTTCGGGAGTTCAAGATGGACGTAGAGTGTAAATTTAGATATCTAGTCTTAATCGCTTAAATCCCTTTATATCCCTCGATATCACTCCAAATCCACTAATCGAATCAAATCTTCCTGATCCGGCATTTTTAAATAACAATCTCTAATTCTAACATTTAGAATTTTAAAATAAATTTTCCTATAATAAATCATGGAGGAGGGTTGAAAAATAGTACTCCCCCCTCAATTAGTACTCCCCCCTTAAATAGTACTCCCCTTTGGAGGAGGGTTGAAAAATAGTACTCCCGGGAGTACTATTTTAGGAAATACGGTAATTTAATTTTTAAAAAAATAAAATAGTAACTAAAGCAGTACCTCACTATAGTGTACCCTCTTGGATAATTCCAGTTAAAAATACATAAGCAAATGTCCATTTTTTATTAGTAACTCCCAGTTCGGTAATCCATTTAGTGCAACTCCGGCATAGGGCTGGCGTCCAGCATAAATCCCTTAATCCAATATCAAACTAAAAATTTGGTCTTTACGGATCCGGATCTGCCATGAGGGTATACTACTATACTGAGGTCCGGCTGTACCTATTCATATATTTTTTATTCATAATGATTCGGCACAATATCGTTAAACCCAAATAAAGTACTCGTGTAGATAGAAACTGTTTTTGTTGGTTTTATTGTTTTACTAAATCTTCGCTTTTGTCCTAAAACTAAATTAGTAATATCCACCTTCTGAGCCCTACCGAGCTGCAGCTTAATTTTAAAAATACACATTGGCATAGCTGAACACAGTCAAGCCTAATTGTAGAAATACCTAAAAAATAGTCAAGAGATATCCACTTTTAAAAGTACATTAAATATTATTGTTGACTCACTTCTTAATTATTTACCAGAAATCTTTAAAAATTCGAGTACGAAGTACAAAATAATATTATTCTTTAGAGATTTCCAAGTAATAATGCATTAATAAATAATTAAAAATATAAAATATTTTCAACAAATTATTTATTTAGCAGGTGAATATTTATTTAAAAAACATTTTAATTGCTCAGAGCCAACAATTTTTTTTAAAAATTAGGTCCGGCAGGAATTAAAAATATTTTTTATTTAAATATTTAATTTTAAAAACAATTAATAGATTAAATGTTCTCTCAAAAATTATTATTTTTTTATTTTTAAGGAAATTTTAAAAATAAAATTATCTAAAGAACGTAGGTAAATTAGTTAGGTAAATTACATAGTAATTATTTTGTAAATAATTATTTATATTTAAATAATAGTTCATAGTAGACAAATAAACAATTTAATAATTTTATTTTTGAAAAATAAATCCGAAATAGTATTTTTTAATTTTAAACTTTATTAAAAAAATATTTTTTTTTAATTTTAAAATGAACGATACATCTTTATTTGAGCAAGTAAAAGGCGATTATTTGTTTTTTTCAACTAAAGGTATAAAAGGAATTTTAAATTTAAATATTTAAATTGAAGTATAGAATGTTAAAAAATTTTACTCCATCTAGTAATCTCAAGTTTTTATATGAGATAACCATTATTGGACATTATATCCATAAAATCTTTAAAAATATTTCATTTAACCGGGTTTTTATGGAGTTTTCTCACAAAAATAGGTGTAAAGAAATCTTAATTCCACCTGAATCGAATTTTGATTTTATATTAGAAATACTTGAAAATTCTTACAAAAATTTCCATAAATAAATCTTATCTAACTATTGTTCTTAAAAAAATATTTAATCGAGTTAAAGGGGTGGTAATTAAACGAAGGAGAACATTTATCTGAGTAAAATAAGATAAATAAATTATTTTAGACCCAATCCGGACTGTCTACGCTTTTTTGGACAGTTTTGTTCTTTTTGTTGGACTTTCAATGAATTCTTTATTAATTTACCTGATCCGAACAAAAACGGCAGCAGGAATGGAAATATACAAAAAATTGCTTTATATGAGTTGTTTTATGGATTTAATTGTTTCTTTTTGGACATTTATTGTTCAACCGGTAATTAATTTTAGGGAAAAATATTTGGTTTAGTTTTAAAAACAGAATATTTATTATGTCAACTAGATATAACACCTAAAAGTTTATTTCATCAGTACATAAAGAATCAAGGATTTTTGCTAAGTTTCGAATATTAGAGACCGAAAACTCTATCCATTAGTGCCATACAAAATAAATTAGTTATTTGCCAGAACCCTTACTTCAAATTTATTGTACGGGCTCAGGGGAGAAAGACAAATTTGCCCCCTTCCATTTTTAAATGCATTATTTGATTAGATACCAGTAATTTCACATGGTTATCGAACCGTTTTGATGAATGGAATCTTTCGTAAGTCTTCACAACCAATTCGTTATGCTGTCTATCTAATTTGGGTTCAAATGCTGGTTAGAAAAATTTACAAAAAATTTTTTTAATTTTCCCTTTGAATAAAGATATTTTTCTTAATAACAACAATAACACAATATGCTTACCGTTTTTGTATTTTATGTAGAAATGGGGTTGTTTCTTTAAAATTTTTTGGATGGATGACTTTTGGACAAACTTGTCTATTTTTTGCTCATGGATATTTGCTTGCATGGGCTGACTATCCACGAGAAGGAGAAAAAGTTTTTATGAAGGAGATAAGAGAAAAAATTATGGAGGAGTCTGGATTAACTGATGTTGAATTTATTTCTTTTGTTAATGCGGTAAAAGTCGCTAATTATTTTCTAAATATAGGTTCTAAGAATTCCTGCTAAATTAAACATATAATGTTTTTAAAATCTTCTGATTTTATAAATTAAATAGGCAAAAATTTGACTTCAGAAAACTAAAATTTATCGAAAATGTAAGGATTGGGAAACCCGCATCTAAGATTCTAAGACTGCCCTACCTGTCAATTGGTAGGGTGGCAGCTAATGTTCTTGCTCGCTAGCTTAACTTACCTAGCTATATAATAAAAATTAATTAGAGAAACTTTCGTTGGCTTGTACACCTTGTAATTATGGGTATTATTGTACCTGGTTTCTACATTGTAATTGGCATTTGTTTCTTTAAAATTCGAAAAGAAGTTCAAGGAATGAATGTTTTAAAATTAAAAGAATATAGCAATCAAGTTTCGGCCGCCCTTCTTTTTCAGGTAATTTTATACAGGATGAGAAATAGGAGTTTCTTTTTTCTTGTAATTAGATAAAAATTAATTTTTAAAGGCCCTACTTCCAACATTTGAAGCTTTTGGTTGGGGTGTTCAAACATTTCTTCCTGTATTTGTGACCGAACGTATTAGCACTGTAATCTACACAGTTTTTACTGACATTCCGATTCATTTAATACCGGCATTAAATCCAATTGGGACTATTTTGCTTGTTGCCCCATATCGGCAAGTTTGTTTTATTTCAGAATTTAATTAGATTTTTTAAGCCGTGCTGTGTTTCGCTATTTTGGAATTACAAAAGCCCATTCAACAATTATTCGTATACAAACAACAATTCAAACAAAACGCCGTCTAGGGACAGTTACTATTCATCCAACCACAAATAATTGAACATAAAAATCAAAAAATTTTCAAAATTTAATTGAAAAATAGAAGATACTCAACAAAAAAATATTTTCTTTATACAATATTAACTCTATAACTAAAATTAATCATAATATCATTAAAAATTATTTTTAACATTCATTTTTTAACTAAATTTTTGAATTAACTTCATACTTCTAAAAACATGCTTAACAACCAGTTATACCTAAAAAATAAAATATTTTTCTTCCATTTTCAATTATTTTCTATTTACCATTGTTTTGTGTTTTCATAAAATCTCGAAGTAATTTCCCAGAATCACTAAGACACGATTCCTGCATTGCTTGAGCTGGGGTACAATTTGGCTTTACTAAAGAGTATACTTCATCCTTATTTGATAGGGACCATTTGGCATAGGAAAGTTTGTTTTGATCCATAAATTTCCAGCTAAATTTTGGAAATAAAGATTTAATTTTTAAAAGGTTGGGTTTAAATTAGAAAATTTATAGGTATAAAGGCAAGCTGTAAAGGCAAGCTGT